ATAATTTTCTTTATGCATACGTTTATGCGGCTATGCAAGTTTGTGTGGATATATACATATATTACTACAAATCGTGTTGTATGGTATATTGTGTATATTACATTATTAAAAATAAAAATTGTATAAACTATGCCGATTATAAAGTTACATGAAGGAGATACTGGAATGATTCATAATCTAGAAGTTTCCGAAGAGGATGCTGTTATCTTCATCATAAATATAAGTAAGCGATTCTAAAAAAAACTTTACAACGCATGTTAGCATGACTTTCATTTTATCCGTAATTGCAAAATACGTACTAACGCTTCAAAACGCTTCAAAAATTGGTCCATTTGCATACTGTTGGCAGCATTAGTAGTGCTAATGGACCGTTCTATAGAAGCATATGAAAGTGAAAACGTTTGAAGCGTTTGTAGCGCCAAGTGGACCGCACCCTATAATAGGATAGAAAGATCTGACAACTTCTCTTTTTTCTAGCCAATAGACTTGAAATGCTTTGTCGTACGACAAATATGTACAGAACAGAAAGGTCCTTGAATCTCTCTATCCCATAGTCAATCAACAGGCTTGAAAAATTTGTTCGGGGGCTCTATTCTTGAAAAGAAACGTATACGAAAGCCTAGGGAAATACTATAGTATACGTAACATATATTGTAGCATTTTCCTAAACTTTCGTATACGTTGCTTTTCAAGAATAGAGCCCCTGGTTTGTTCGCGGCGCATGCTCCAGCGTATTCTAATGTGCTCTTGCTATAGCTCCTACTCACTTCAACGAGCGCGTTAAGTGTAAATGCCATGGTAGAAGCATTTTAGAGCATGTTAGAGCATGCGACGCAACAAACCTGAAATATTACCCTAAGACGTCACGTATATGCAGAAAAGAGATGCCAACAGAAGACATGAGACCAGCCTCTCCGTGATTGATTCAAGATGTTATATATGCTTTTATGGGCGGTATTCATAGTCCGTTTTTACTTCTGTCTTATGTAATGTCTTAAGACACTAAAGCGGGGAGCACAGACTCTTGCATAACGCATAACACGTAATGCATAAGAATATGTACCAATTGAAGTTCTCCGTTTCTTTCCCTTCCATGTAATAGAGAACTCTGGTTGGTTCAATTTCTTATGCCTCATGTGTTATGCGTTATGCAAGAATCTGTGCTCCCCGCTTAAGGATATATCCACACAAACTTGCATAGCCGAATAAACGTATGCGTAAAGAAAATTATCCAATCACATTTCTCCTATAAAGATGCACGTAAAATGTGATTGGATAATTTGTTTTACGCATACGTTTATGCGGCTATGCAAGTTTGTGTGAATATAACCTAATACCCGTATTTATAGTCAGCCCTTGTACTTAAGGCTTCCTTAAATTTATTTTTAGATGCTCAGTAGTTAATGAAATAATTCGTAGAGTATCTGAAGATTTTAAGGAAGCCTTAAATATAAGGTCTGCCTATGAATACGGGCATAAGACCCAGATAGCAAAGCGTGTCTCAGCAAAATCATACAAATCTGTGATTGCTTATGATGTTGGAAACTTGCCATAGATTTGTTTTCAACGATTTCGAATATATCGACATTGGCTTAGTTTCCATCGAGGGTTTAAATCGGATCAGAATGTAAGAACCAACCAACTACAGTCGAGTATTCCCCTGTTACAGTCGAACGACAGGGGTATACTCGATTGTAATTGGTTGGTTCTTACATTCTGATCCGGTTTAAACCCTCGGTAGAAACTAATAACGTTTTCGGCCCGATCGGGTTTGCACCAACCTGGGTTGGATTAATCTTTCCTATTGGTTGATGTCACACGCTCTACCAATAGGAGAGCGCAAAACGCCATTAATCCAACCCAGGCTGGTGCAAACCCGATCGGGCCGAAAATGCTATAAGCCATTATAGCAACAGGGGTGATCCCGATTGATCACGACTCGATTGGACACCACCAATCACAGCGACAGGTGTTTAGGAGCTTTGTAGCTGTGCTCAAAGCGCTGTGAGTGGCTCGTGTCCAATTGAGCCGTGTCCAAATGGGTGCCACCCATAGCAACATGCAGGCAACAATATGTATATGTATTGCCAGCAGTTTAACAGCGAGATAGCTACGTCAATGTTATCTTGTGACGTCGACAACATGAAAGCAATGAATAATGCTGCATATTATTATGGCAACATGATGGCAGTAATACGAATTTTGATGATGACGATTTTAAAGTTGTCGGCAAACTGCTAGCAAGACTCAACTCAAAGTTATCATATCATGAAGGCATCAAGTTGCCAACAAATGAGGACTCAGTTGCTGCAAATCTGGTAGCAACACATGCTTAGTAATGCATACTTAGCAACATGCCAGCAACAAGATAGACACGTTGCTATCTGGACACGGCTTTCTGATTGGTTCCTGACTTCTTAAGATTGTATTTAAGCCGGACTACGTTTAAGGCCATGGCACACCTTCCATAACGGTAACTATAAGATGTACCGTAAGAATCAGCCAATTAGAATTTAAAGTTCAAAAGGATTCTCGACTGTGATTGACTCATTCTCAATGTACGTCTTATATTTACTGTTATGGAAGGTGTGTGCCATGGCTTTAAGGGCTGCCGCAGACAAAATTTCTGTAACTGTAACCTTAAGACGTGAACTTAAGCCGATGAACCAATCAGGATACTGATCTACGTACTGTAACGAAATAGAAATAGGAATAAATTTATCCATAAGGCGAGTTTCAACCGGTTGAAATTCGCTTTACTGCGAGGTTATGGATAAGTTTACTGTTATTTCCATTTTCGTTAGATTACATAGACCTAAAGCAATATCCTGATTGGCTCATCGGCTTAAGTTTACGTCTTACGGTCGCTGTTGCCGAATTTTGTGTGCGGCAACCCTTACATGGCACCCGTAGGCCCGATTATACTAACGTTACTTTAATTTTAAGCGAGCCTTAAAGCTCTTCGTTTCTGTCTCTTTTCGGTTTTAACACGAGATAGAGAGAATTTTAAATCTCACTTAAAGAGTCAAAGTAATGGTACGTATCCACTGAGCGCGTCACGCATCGCGTCGTTCATCGCGTCACGACGCGACGTGAAAAAAAGAAAGAATGAAGTTTATACCACTCTGTTTCTCTCTTTCGCGTCGTGTCACGACGCGACGCGAAAGAGAGAAAGAGTGAAGTTTATACAGTGATGGGAGAAAGTTCGGCAACGGTCAAATATCTTGGAAAATAATGCTTATGGAAAAAAATGTTCAATACAAAAGTTTTAGTATATCAAGTGGTCTATTATATGGTTATGTTGAAATGACCTTCATGTGACCTTGAAGGACACCGTGAAGGTCAACTTTGAAATCTTAAATGGAAATACCTATTTTCTTTTACATATCCTTAAAGCTGGTGTCAAGACGTTTCCGAAACACTGGTTACAAACCCTTTTTGCTTGAGATCTTCCTGAGTTACGAACCTTTAAAGTTTAAGTATCGCCGGCGCATTATCTAAGGTATGCGCGCGCGCGCGCACGCACGCGCGCGCGCGCGCGCACACACACACACACACACACACACACAAACGCGCGCGCACAAGACTTACTTTGGTCAAGCATTTCGAAAAGGTGGATATCCGACCGTGCCACCTCCACGCAGTATACCTTAGATAATGCGCCGGCGATACTTAAACTTTAAA